GCCAGCTTCACACATGCTCTCTCTCTCTCTCCCCCCTCGCAACTCCAGCCTGGGCAGGGAGACTCAGTCACCCTGGCCGTGGTGGCGCAGTGCCTCAGTCTCCTTGCTCTGGCTGGACCTGCAAGGGGAGAGAGAGAGACAGAGCGCCGGGTTTGCGAAGCTGGCTTCCCTGCGATCTTTGCCAGCCCGAAGCACAGCTGATGGGCGGGTGTTTGCAAAGATCGCGGGGAAGCCAGCTTCTCTCTCTCCCCCCCCCCCTTTGCAACTCCAGCCTGGGCAGGGAAACTCAGTCACCCTGGCTGTGGGGGGGCGGTGCCTCAGTCTCCTTGCCCAGGCTGGACCTGCAAGGGGTGGAGAGAGAGAGAGCGCAGAAGCACAGCTGATTGATGGTTCCAAAATGGCCACCCGCTGTGTTGCCTCGCTTTAGAGGAACCGAACATGGCGGTGGGATCGAGGATTTTCGCTTAAAGGTGAGTTTTTTCCCCCATAGGAATGCATTAAATATGTTTTAATGCATTCCTATGGGGTTTTTTGCCCCGCATAGCGACGAATCCGTATAGCGATGATTTTTTCGGAATGGATTATTGGCGCTATGCAGGGCACCACTGTACACCTTGCCGAATGGATGAATGCTGGGTTCCTACCAGGACAAAACTCTAGCTGGACTATCTGGAAGTCACCGAATATGCTTCAAAGCAAAGTAGAGAGATCATGTTTCCTGGGACTGTGGTGAAATTCATTCAATGCAGCACTTCTGTGCATGCAACTTATGCCTCCCATGTGTACAAAAGACCTAGGAAACGGCTGATATAATGCAATCGAAATAGCCCACATTTGGTCACAAATAGTCTAATTACTGTATTTTTCCATGTATAAAATGACACAAATAACACTTTTCCCTAAAAATCATTCAAGGAAAATTTTAGGGTTGCTTTATACACAGAAGGAGGCAGAGGAGTTGCCGCGCTGGGCCACCCTTCGTGGCTGCCCATTGACTGCTCCACTACCTCTGGCAACAGTCAAAATTGTGGGTCGTCTTATTCATTGAGGGGGGGGGTTGTATACATAAAAATATAGTATATTAACATTTTAATTTTTCTAAACTATATCTTGCATTCACACATAACTTGTGCAATGCTTTGATTTGGATAAAAAGGTTGCTAAAGTTTTGGAGAGTTCAGTTTGTTGGGCAGTTTCTTAGTCTCCCGTTCTTAGATGTCATGGTCCTACGCAAAACTGACCTCTGACTGGGACACAAGGTCTACAGAAAACCCACCCACACAGACTGGTACCTACACAAAAACTCCAACCACCACCCACAGCAAAAAAGAGGCATAATCAACATACTGTTAGACCGTGCAAATTGGAACGGTGAAGCTCAGTTTCTCAGCACTGAACTCAACCATCTGAATTGGGACCTACAGGCAAATGGCTACTCCAAAAATGAAATCACAAGAGCCATCAAACCTAAAAAGCAACACAAAACTGAAGAAGAAAAAGAGCCACCCTTAAATAAAGTATTTCTGCCATACATCAAAGGGGTCACGGACCGCATGGGGAAACTTTTGAAAAAACACAACCTACAAACAGTATT